TACTTCCCTGTGATTGACATTCCACACTAAGTGTGGCAGTTTTTTCACCCTCGATAGCTTTTGGAAGATTATGTGTTGTTAGCGTAACCTCGTCCCAACTTTCGTCATAGTCTGATAGTCCTTTATAAAAAGGAGCCAGTTTGCGTTCTATAATGAATTTGCGGACACTCCTATAGTCCCAATCTTGAGGCCCCTTGTATACACCATTCGGGACTAATTGTCCTCCGTCCACAGTTTCTTCTCCTTTATCTCTACCGATCGTGTTTCCCATGCTAATTTATTCCAGTTGACCAAAGGTTATAGTATTGTTAATATTTTGGTACCTGATCGTATTCCTCAGATCCGTCCAAATATGAACGGAATTAAGGTTTAAAAAAAAAAAAAAAAATGGTTTATAGATTTATGCCAATTGGGATAAAGATAAAAGCCTAAAACTGTGATTAGCAGGTTAAAAGAATTAATTGTTTGTCACTAGCTAGCCTAAGCTTACACTTTCCTGCTTTAAAGAACACGGAGCTTTAGTCAAAAACAAAGAAAGGAAGAATGCCTACTCTACTTTTGCAAAAGAAATAATTTAAATATTATGGGCCTCCAAAAACCCACTTTAAACCCAAGATTAGCACTTTATACTTTTTTGGTTCGAAGGGTTCTACGGATTCCGATATTCACTATCTATTATCGCTATATATGTTAAGAAAGTTGATCACGGAATTCAAGGAGAATGATATCATCACTTTGATTTATTCAACTTATCGTTATCAGATTAATCCGATAAGTCAGGTAATGTTAAAACCAATAGAAATTCATTGATTCTTGAATCGTCATGCATTACACAGATCTATTAGATATAGAATATAGAACAAGAAACTTTTTGGATCAAGATTACTTTCTTCTTTTTCAAAGAATTCTTTATAATGGGTCATTTAATGATTTTAGCAACATGCTCTCTTAATCAGTGGGCAATGGACTTTGAAGGCAATTTGGAGCGTATCTTAGAAAGTATTCGCGTAGCCAAGCAAAGAGGCGCGACACTTCGCGTCGGTCCAGAACTTGAAATAACGTATATAATAATTCTACTGTAAAATTTCGAAATAACGTCCAGGGGTTTAATTTCGAAATTTAGCACAAATTAAGTTTAATTCGGGCCATAACTCAAAATAATGCTCATGTCTGTTAGTTCGAGATTTTACAGTACCAAACTTTAAAGTACAGTATATATATTAGATATAATTACGCATTATCTTATCGATCATATGCTTTATTATTTAATAGTGGATACGGGTGTTTTGATCATTTTCTCGAAGGTTGATTACCATTTGTTTTAAACCTTCATTAATTGCATTAAATTATTCATTATATTTACACCAAGCGATGAATTAATGTTTTGAACGAATCATATAGGAGATACATATTTACATTCCTGGGAAATGTTAGGCAAAATATTGCAATTTGAAGAGGCTAAAGATATGTTACTTGATATTGGAATGTAAGCAAACTAAATTTTGTATTAATACGAAATTTATTTTACGTCACCAATATTAAATAAATTTATGCAATAAATTTTTCAATTATAATCTTAGGCCAGTCTCTCATAAAAACATTAAATATAATTGTCGTATTATAATCCATAATTGTAAAATATTATTAATTCGACCAAAATTGTTTTTGGCTAATGACGGTAATTATCGAGAAATGAGATATTTTACTGCTTGGTCGCCAGTTCAACATGTTGAAGATTATTATCTTCCGAGGATTATTAGAAATATCACAGGCCAAGTAAATTATTTTAATTGAATATCCTACTTTCTTTTTTTATTTCTTTTTACTGGTATAAAATTATTTTTAACAACTATTTCCATCAAAGTCGGTGGTTCCTATTGGCGACGCGGTAATTTCTACTATTGACACTTGCGTTGGTGTGGAGTTGTGTGAAGAGCTTTTTACACCTAATAGGTATGTCTTCTTTTGGTTATTATTAGTAAAAAGGCTATGCTTCTAATTATTTGTCATATAATAGTCCTCATATTAGTATGGGTTTGGACGGTGTAGAAATTATCACCAATAGCAGTGGTAGTCATCATGAATTACGTAAACTTTATAAACGTATCGATTTAATTAAAGAAGCAACTTTGAAGGTATATTAACTTAATTCGCGTCAACCATTGATTAATATCAATAACCTAAAAAATTTGAACATTTAAGAATGGAGGTGTTTACCTCTATTCTAATCAACAGGGTTGTGATGGCGATCGCCTATATTATGATGGCTGTGCATTAATTGCAGTAAATGGTCAAATAATTGCCCAAGGATCACAGTTTTCTATCAAAGATGTGGTTGGTTGTCTAATATACAACATTATTTTGCATTTCTATTTATAAAACTTAGTATCAAATTAAGTTCATTGGGTAAATTTTATTTTAAGGAAGTTATCACAGCAACCATTGATATTGAAGATGTTCGTTCACACCGCGGGATGAGTAGTAGAGGGATGCAGGCTGTTAACATATCCCCATACCAACGCATTGAGGCACCTTTTGCTTTATCCTCTGAAAAAATAAATCTTAAACCGGGTTTTTCTCCTACTAAACCTATTCAAGAAAAATATCATACTCCGGAACAAGAGATTGCGTAAGTTCAATTTAAATTCGATAAATGATAAATTAAATATTAAAAGTCAAAACAATTGTTAAGTTTCGGACCAGCTTGTTGGCTTTGGGATTATCTCCGTCGATCAAAGGCTAGTGGTTATTTCTTGCCTCTTAGTGGAGGAATAGACAGTTGCGCTACAGCAATTATTGTATATTCTATGTGTAATCTTGTTGTTGAAGCCGCATCAAATGAAGGTAATTCAATAATAAATTTCTTTAATAACTATACCGTAGTTAATTTTTTTTTAATGGTCGTTAGATACTCAAGTCATTGCAGACGC